CTCCTAGAAATCACAGGGCATCACATCAAGGCTTATACAAGTTACACTTCACCAGTGTGAAGGGTAACAGCTGACATTTATATAGACTTGGGCTGTACCAGGTGTATATATACATGAATGGTGTGTGTCCGTATATATGTCATTCCTCATAGAAATCCTAAAGGGTGGGTGCTCTTGTTATCCTCATTTTATGGACGAGAAACCAAGAGAGGTTTAGTAAGTTTTCCAAGGGTGAGTGATCATTAAACAGAGTTGGGACTGATACCAAAGTGTCTAATGGCAGAGTCCTTGCTCTCAGTCCACGTGTTATTGGCCTCCCAGTGGACAAACAACTTCAGAACAAACCTGTCTCAGTGCACCATCTCCAGCACTTCTGTTTTCTTTTGTATAAAAAAAAAAATTTCTAGTTTGATAGAAACCAAAAATATGTAGCATAAAAAGAAATGAAGCCTTGACACACGATACAACATGGATGAACCTTGAAAACATGCTGAGTGAAATAGGTCAATCACAAAAAATCAAATATTGTATGATCTTTCTTATATGAAAAAACAAAAATAGGCAAATGTACAGAGACCAAAGTTTATTAGCGGTTACCAAGGGTGGGAGGAAGAGGGGCAGTCATTGTTTAGGAAGCAGTTGAGTTTTTGTTAATAGTGATGGGAAATTTGGCAACAATTAGGGGTAATGGTTGTACAACATAATTAATGTAATTCTTATCACTAATTTGTACACCTGGAAGATGTTAAATTGATAAATATTGTGTGATACATACTTTTACAACAATAAAAGTAAAACGTTTATAGAAAAACAAAATACTGTGGTTCTCATTTATATCCCTATGATTTCTTGGTTTTCCAAACATGGGCTAATTTGCTCCTATGGCATATCTGCTCATTGCCTCAGCACATGTTTTGTGTGGGGATTAAAAGTTTTCTTAACTTATTTGTAACAATTCTTCTCAAATGTTTTGGATATTTGGGTGTAGGTAAGGGTCCTGTGGTTAAAAGCAATGGAAATCAGCTTGGTATAACTCAAGAAAATGGAGAATTTATGGGTCAGGGATTGGGTGGTGAAAGAAGGGAAGGAGAAGATAGACAAGGGGCACCCAGGAAGACCTCACCTGGGCAGCTCCAGGGAGCGAGGGAGCAGAAACTACCTAATGGACAGGCAAGAGAAAGAAGCACCTGCCAGTGCAGAGCCTCCTGCCTCTCAGCTCGACATTTAAATTCCAGGGACCAGAGGACAACTGGCCTGGGTTCCATCTCAGACCCCCATTGCCAGAGAGGGTCATGGCAGCTGGACTGACTGGCCCACCAGGATGGAATGCGGCCAAGGAGGTAGCACCATCCAAAGAGGAAATTCATGCACATGACAAAGACAGGGGCAGGGGTGCTGGAAAATCTGCAGATATCCACGGCAGGCTCTCCCTCATGGGACATAAATATATTCCTCAATTTGTCATTTGCCTTCAATATCCACCATGATAATTCTGTACATCTACATCTAAAATTTTCGTGTAGTCAAATCTCTGTCTCTTCCACTGCGATTGATTTCCATTGCTTATTAGGTCCCTGGGTGTCACAAATTGTATTTTGCTGCTAACCCAAAGGTTAGCGGTTTGCATCCACCCAGAGGTGCCACAGAAGAAAGTCCTTAACAATCTGCTTTCATAAAGATTACACTAAAAAAAAAACACTGTGAAGCTCCGTTCTACTCTGGAACACATGGGGTCACCATGAGTCTGAATTGATTTGCCAGCAATGGGCTAAATGCTTCAAATACTCTTTTTCACTCTGTCTCAGTTATCTAGTGCTGCTGTAACAGAAATACCACAAGTGCATGGCTTTAACAAACAGAATTTTATTCTCTCACAGCCTAGTAGGCTAGAAGTCCAAATTCAGGGTGTCAGCTCCAGGGGAAGTCTTTCTCTCTCTGTTGGCTCTGGAGGAAGGTCCTTGTTATCAATCTGCCCCTGGACTAGGAGCTTCTCAGGTGCAGGGACCCTGGATCCAAACGATGCTATCTGCTCCGGGCGCTGCTTCTTGGTGGTATGAGGTCCTGCATTCTCTGTTCGCTTCCCTTTCCTTTTATCTCTTGTAAGATAAAACGTGGTGCCAGCCACACCAGAAGGAAACTCCCTTTACATTGGTTCAGGGATATGACCTTAATAAGGTGTTACATCCCACCCTAATCCTCTTTAACATAATCTAATCTTGCCTCATTAACCAGAGGCAGAGATTATGATTTACAACACATAGGAAAATTACAGTCACATAATGGAAGACAACCACACAATACTGGGAATCATGGCCTAACCAAGTTGATACATATTTTTGGGGACACAATTCAACCCATGACACACTCCAAAAGCAGTTAAACATTTATACCAATTTTTTGTATTTTTACATGGAAGTCTCTGACACTTCTGGAATGTATTTGGTGTGTGGAACGAGGGGAAGATGCACCAGTCCTTGTACTACCTTTCTATAGGATCGGGGCCTGCTCCCTACTTCTCTCGTGGACACCAAGGCCTGTGTCTGCCTAGACTGCACCTGCTACCTGTCTGATGGGCTTTACTTCACAACCACGCCTTGGCCTCTGCCCCAAGGACTAGGTCAAGGTAGAGAGAGGCATATGAGTTGGGACGGAGAGTCATTTAGCTGGACAATAAATGGCCTCACTGAGAGAAACCAATTCTCTTGCCCTTTGAGCATCCTCTGAGAAACGCAGGACTGTTTGGACTTGGGGTTCCTGGGACTAAGCTCATTGTCCAATGGTGGCCTCTCCCGTCCCACTGTGGCTGCCTCTCATGACACTGGGCCCCTCGATGGTTGAACTGGATCAGCTCCACCCATGTAGCCCCAGGTCCAGCATGGATATGATACCTGGGCAGGCCTGGGGGAGGCCATGGTTGGTGGTGAGGATCGTAGATGTTATAGCTGACTCTCTGTCTTGCTTTGGGCGGTGGTGAAGGGAGGTGCTGGCAACCCTCCCTCCACACTTGCCTCAAAGCCTGCTCAAAATGGGGTCATTTGGGGGTGCCAGGGGATTCCACCAGATTCTCTACTGGGGCAGGAGGCTTGAACCCAACCCATCTGCAATGCTGACACCATCTCCTTCTTCCTGCCCCTTTATCTGTGACCTCCCAAGCCAACAGGTCATAGCCTCAACCCAGGTCTCGTTCTGTCCCAAGGTGAGCTGAGGACACAGGCGTCATCTCTGCAGGTGAGTCCTGACGCTGAGCCACCTGGGTGGGGTCTTCAGGCATCTACATTGCCCTGGAGTCTCCAGGTGTCTACACAGTCCTGCATGCCCGTGGGATGCAGCGCCTCCTGGGGATCTGGCTCCCCACTAGGCCTAATGTTTCCCCAGCCTCCCTTCCACCATGGCCTTCCTCTCCCTGGTGCACCCCCAGCAGATCACCAAGGGAGCCAGCACTGAGGTCCCCTTACAGACAGGCCAAGCCAAGAGTGACTGCTGAAGCTCTTTATTTGGAGTCAAGAGAAAGTAGCCAGATGGGGAGGGGTTAGATGGTGGTGGCAGGAGTGGGGAGTGTTCCAGGCCCAGGTTCCAGTTTTGGTTCTGGCAGCAAGGCAGGGCCCTCTGGAGGTGCCGGCTGGGGCTGCTGTGTGGATCAGCAAAGAAGGGGAGATATCAGTGGGACCACTCAGGGTGCAGGGGGAACAGGGCAGATGTTAAGCTCAGAGAGGTCCCCTCCGTGGCTGACCCTGGGAGTATATGGGGGCCTAGAGGGAGAGTTGATCTACATTGTTTGAATCCCACCCCTCAATGATCAGGCAACTGTCATGGACTGAATTGTGTCCCCCCAACAAGATATGCTGAAGTCCTGACACCTGTACCTCCTCTGGGGAAATAGGGCCTTCTTTGCAGATGTGATCTGTTAAATTAATGAGGTGGGTCCTAATCCTAATCCCTTCTGAGTGGTGTCTTATAAAGAGAAGAACAGAGCAGAGACAGAGTCACACACAGGGGGAAGATGCCATGTGAAGATGCATCTATAAGCCAAGGAAAGCCAAGGATGGCCAGCAGAAACCAGAAGCTAGGAGAGAGGTGTGGACAATTCCTCCCTCAGAGCTTGCCTCTCTTGGTCCTACCGTCCACCATTCCCCTGACCCACATCCCCACACAGGGAACTCAGCTGGGGAACCCTGGGCCCCACTGCATTGTGAGCAGAGATTAGTGGCTGATACCCTGATTTGTACTCAAAGCCTCCAGAACTGTGAGACAATAAATGTATGTTCTTTAAGGCCACCCAATTTGAGGTATTTTGTTAGGGCAGCCCAGGGACACTAAGAAAGCAAGTCACTAAATATCTGTCATAAGATGTGTTAGGAGTGTGTGTGTTGGGGGGAGGGGTTTGAGAGGGCTTAAACTGAGTGGAGACCCTGTCAGCTCCATCACCAACGGGCACTCATGTTGAGGAGGATGGTGTGGGCACAAGCCTGGAGAAGCAGGAGCTCTGAGAAGGAGCCTTATATCGCTGGCAAGGACACATGGGTGTGACGGTTTAATTAGGTAAAAGAAAGGATCCTGAGTGTCCTAGGAATTACACTAGGGGACAGACTTCTGAGGGTAATGACCAGGGCCCTGAGCAGACAGAAGGGCAGAGTGGAGCCATGAGAGGTGGGGGGAGGGGGATCTCCCACCATGGGGTTAGTGGGAGGCCAGAGCACACAGCTTCTTAACCTTGTGGACCCCAAGACTCTGGTAATTCCCAACATTCTGCAGAAGTGCCCACTCACCCTATTCACTTTCAGGAGCGCAGTTCTCTGTGGGGACAAAGAAAGCATGCTTGAGAAGATGCCTGAGCAAGGCAGGGCCTGACCTTATCCCTGCCCCTAGGTCAGAGACGCCTATGATGAGATCCAGCCCGGGGCCCCATGTCCATGTAGCAAGTGCGAACTAATACAGCAAACACATCCATAGCACTTCCTCCCCGGGGACACGGGGACACAATGGACAGAGCCACCCTTTACCCGTCTGGGCCGGGAAGAAGATGTTCTCCTGCTGGAACCCTTTCCGCTGAGCGAATTTCCTAAATTCTTCCAGGGCTTCTGTGTTCACATCCGGGCTTCTGCCTACAGGTGAGATGAGGGGGAGACACAGATTTGGGGGTCCCTGCAAAGCCTCCGACGGAGACTCCATCTCCCAGCACGGGGTGGTGGGAGGGGAGAGTTAGACTCTGCAGGGGAGAGTTCAACCTGAAAGAGAGCCTGGAGTGCAGGAGTGGATCAGGGACCAGACAGCAGATCACAGCCAGCCCAGCAGCAGGCCCCGAGGATGGGGCTACTGGCAAAGACCCCGGAACAACGAGCGGCCTTCAAAGCCAACTCTGAGGATCCCAGTCCTGACCTGGGAGGTCCTCATCCCCGTTTCTCGAGGTGTTGTACTGCCATTGCCCCTACCCCAGCACCACCATCAGAACTAACCTTCCTGGAAGGTCCCACTTCTGTGAAGGGTCTAGCAGCAGAACTCATCCCTGCCCGCAGCTGACACAGCCCCAGGCCCAGCGACCCCCTAGAAATGCGTTTTGCAGCTGCGGGGGTGGGAGTCCCCTTCATGAGCCTGTCCTCTGACAGTCCTGCCCCACTCACCTGTCCCCTACCCACGTCCCCCAGCAGGAAACTAAGTCAAGGAGCCCTGGGCCCCACTGCACCTCGAGCAAGGCCAGGGCAGGGCCACATTGCCCGGAACCAGCATGTGGCTGACAGTTGGCCACCGGCTCCCTGGGGTGAAGATGGAGGTGCCAGGGGCACAGGGGGCTCTGAGGATCAGCAGCAACTCACCCAACAGCTTTCCCATGCAGAAATTTTCCCCGTAGCGCCAGACTTCACAGAAAGAGATGTAGTGGTCTTTCACTGGCAGCTCCTGGAAGTAGATGTGCTTCCGGCCCCGTCTGTAGACAAAGAGGAAACAGGTCTTTAGTGTCCTCATTCCTAGAGAAAACATTTGAGCACTTAAGAAACAGCCTAGAAGGTTCCAGATTCCAGGCTGCCCTAGCTGTACAAAGTACCCTGCCCCCAGGTCCCCTGGCCTGGCCAGAGCCCAGGGTCTTGACGTTCCCCAAAACCAGGGGTCTCAAGCACTGGGAGAGAACTGCCTCCTGGCAGAAGGGTCCCCACCTACTCATGGAAACTAGAGTAGGGGATCAGGGCAGAGGACGTCAGAGGTTGGAGCTTGGCCATCTCAGCTATGCTTCCGTCCCTCCCCGATCTTTACCCTTGTGTCTCTGCCAAGTCAACTGCTACAACCACCAGAAGGGGAAGGTGAGCTCAGCCATTCCCTGCTGCAGAGGAACTTGCCACACCTGGTGTCTGATGTCAGGTCATTGCATGCTGGGGCAGCAAGACCCTCGGGAGGTGGAGTTTAGCATTTCCTGGAGCTTGGACAGGGCAGGAAGTCTGTCCCAGGCTGTGGATGGGGCTCCGTGTTGGGCGGATGGCACTCACCGGTGCTGTATTTGCCAGGCTCCCCCACCCTCTCCATCACAGTTCTCTTCTCATGGCACTGATCCTTCTTTCTGGAAAACAGAAGGTAGCACACCTGAGCCTGTGCTCGGCTCACCTGGCCCAGGTGTCTCTCTTCCCAAGTGTCCTGATAATTTCATTGCCACCCCGTCCTGAGCTTTAGGACACCTCCTGGACTCTTTCCCCCAAAGTTAGGTGGCTGTTTATTTTACCAACATGGAAAAATGCAAATATTCGGTAGGCAGAGGAGCAGCAGGTGAGGCTGCTTAGAGA